TGCGCCAATAAAAGGAGGTATTCATCAGATGAGGCCCTGTCCAAGTAAGGCTTCATGAAAGGGGACGCTGCCTTGTGTGGTTAATTTATATCAAAATCCCTGCATTAACTGGGAGGCCGTAAAAAGTCCCAATTAGCCATCTGCGATTGTCTGGAGGAGGTTTGATGTATGGGCCTATCAATACAGCACAACTGCAGCCTGGGCTGTAATATCAAACTGTAATTCAGGGTGCACATGGTGAATAAGCACCCATTGACTCTGTGTGTGATTTTACAGACCGTTAGGGAGAGCTATTTCAATATAGGCACAGCCGTGGAAGTGGTGGACATAAAGCGACAGATGACGTAGGCACAGAGTCTGCGTTTATCTGCTGTAAAGTTCGACATGGATGCTTGGAGCATTTATCGTCTGTTTGTCAACTACTTTACAGCTAACCTGTTAAGGTTAAAGGAAAAACGTCCTGTAGTTCACTGTGGAGGACAATGAGGTGGTTTATGATAGAGCTGAAGAATGATAATTAAATCAGAAAGTTGGTATAAAGGCCTCCACTTAGCTCAGAGCAACATTTAAATGAAAATAAAGATAAAGGGAAAAAAAAGCCATCACGTCACAGCAACGTTCAGACCTTTGGTTGTGTCTGCAGGCTCGCCTTTCAAAGCCAGGATGTCCAGGCGTGTGTCCTAGCAGCCTCTCCAGGAAGAGGGGAGGGAGAGAGAGAGACAGGTTGAGGTGGGTACATCAAGGTTTTTGTGGACGAGACAGGAGAGGCAGAAGAAGGAGGAGGAAGAGTAATTACAGCGCTGATGAAAGGGGAGAAAGTGAGGAGGGTCTTCAGTGGATTAAAAGAATGAAGAGAGGAGGTGAAAGGAAGGATGACAAAACTGTATCAGGACACACTACTGAGACGAATGGGCCACCAACAGATAAGGTCTATGGTAATCCAACCTTGTACCTAACCTTAACCTTTTCTAACCTTCTACATAAACTTCACATCACTGATTTCATTCTGAATGAAACTTCATACTGCAGTTATCTTTGGACCACATTCTAATGATGGAAAACTGACAAGAGTAGAACTGATCATAATGTAGGCGAATAACCCCAAAAAAATCACTGGAATTCTATTAGCTTTCATATGACTGAACAGCTGTTATAATGCATTTCTTTTGGCACTATGTGCCAACAAGATAGCTATAGCTTGTAGTGAGCTATTAGTCTGATATATCTATCTAAATCTAACTTACAAAATGGGATCTCATAGAAACTAGGCGGTAGTGGCTTGCTAACATTTAGCACTGGTGAGTTTCTGAATGAGCCTGCTGGATGGTTAGCAAGCGAACAGTTTGACTCTTCTACAGCAACACCTCATGGTGTTTTGGAAGAAGAGACGAGATCTTAGAGGCTAACTGTGGTGATATTCCATGAAAAGATCAAAACCACTAATGAATGCATCTACTAACAAGTACTTTGTAAAGCTCCAGTGTTGTCCAAAAACTATTAAAAACACATCAGTGAGCCGCACTCCTGCACTAGGTGACTTGTTACTTCATCACCATGAACACCCATTCTCATCTCAGGGCGTCCAGTACCAACACTGTGACAAACATAGTGACAAGCGTAGTTATTTGACGCTAAAGACCAGAAGTGCTAGCTAGCTACATTCGTGTTAAAGGTGTTGACAGCCCCCCGAAGCCCCCTACCCTTACCATAACCATCAGAAATGTTAGTACCTAAACCTAAGTCACTGACCTGATGCATGTCGACCGGCTAACCCTACAGCCGCGCACATCAGCCTCACGGCCAGTGTGCTAGCAGGTAGGGTTAGCCTAGGGTGACCAGACATCCCCGTTTTCCTGGTGCTATTCAATATATTGTTTTTAACTGTGTGTTAATCATAGACGTTTAAGGTGTTAACAGACCTGAAATCAGATTTTACGTGGCTAGAGAGACTGGACAGCAGAGCATACAGGTGTCGTTCTGAAAAGTGATAGTTCGGCGAAAACTGATCATCTGCGGGAGCGCGCTCACCATGTTAAAGCTGCATCACAGCAGTCTCTTTACGTCTACAGCTGTTTTTATCTGGATCAGACATAATGTGCAAACATCACTTTATGTCTGTGGTAATAGCAAAGGTTTGTGTCTGTGATACTTTAACGTTTCTTTTAACGGAATAATCACAATTGTGGCCAAATAAGTGTTTGCAGTTCATAGCGTAATCAGGCCTGACAATTACTGATTATAGGCAATAATAGAAGCCTGTTGTTGCTGATGGATTATGTGTTTGGTAGGTATATGTCTTATATCCTTGTTTGGAAAACAGACTGTAGCCTATAATTAACATGACTTACTGCTGAGTTATATATAAAATTAAGACATAATCTCTTTTGCAATTATCCTCATGACTCTACATTATTTAACTTGCTGTGTCCCAATCAATCCAGACCTTTTTACCTGTTGAAATACCTTTAAATGGCCAATACAACCCAAATCATGCAGTAATTCACTTCCAGAAAGTGATTGCAGCTTCTACTTATTGACTGAAAGGTAGATTATTGCTCAAAATGACTTGATTTCATTCCAAAGAGGTATATTTCACAGATTATAAAACAGAAATTGTCCCCTTTTTTTATAACATATATAATAACATAACATCACATACTGACCACCAAACCAAAAATGTCCCCACTTTTCATTTCAGACATCTGGTCACCTTAGGGTAGCCTCCTTTGTGTTGCTGCAACGTAGCAAAAGGTGGCGCGTCATACGGACGCTGAAGGGTACCTTTAGCGTAAAATGCGCTTTGTCACGCTGTCTGAAAGCGTCAGTTATGACGCACTGAGATGAGAATGTGCTGGTCCTGCTGCCCCAAATACTCACTATCACTATCCCCATATGGGCATTCATCCCCAGCTGAAAATAGTCCCCAGTAACAGCAATAATTCCTCCTGATTGTAAAAATCATAGTACCAACTGTTTTAGGAAATTACTGTCTATGTCTTATGTATATGTATATATATATATATAATATGTACTTTGTAAGTTGTTTTGAAACATGCATGTCTTCAGCAGGAGCCAATGAGTGTAGGGAAGTCAGTCAATATATTGAATAGCACAAGGCTTAAGATGGGACAGTTAACTATGTTACAGAAACCTTGGGAAACAAACTTATGTCATACAGTAATGGAGTAATTAACAAGTACATTTTTTGATACTAGTGTCAATACAATTCCTGAGTTCCTGTACCAATACTAAAATAGAAAATACATTTTGACACACATCAAGTGTTAAATGTAAATACAAGCAGGTATACAAGTATCTTTGTCATTAATTTGCAGGAATCCCTTAAAGAATAAGTCAAAACAATTAGAAATTTGACTAGACTTTCAGTGTCAGCTGTCAGCATCAAGCTGTCAGCGTTTTCGATACCTGTGCTACGGATACTTTTAAGTTGGTACCAAAGTATTCAGGTTCAATAACGTGGTGTTGTTGGGGGAAAGAGAAACAAACAGTAGTCTTGAGAGCTAGATGGGAGAGGGAGGAGAGGGGACGATAGCAAATTAAGTCTAGAGTTTTGTTACCATTTCTCCAATTACCAGGAAAAAAAGAGAAAGGGAGAAAAAGAGCAGCATTCCAGAGGTAGGAGCTTCAGGCAGTTCGGCCTGTGAGTCAGCAGAGGAAACAAAGGGCCAAGAAAACGCTGTCATTTGACCTGCACACACACACCGACACACTGCATATCACACACATATTGTAAAGCATACACTGATATGTAAACAATCCGCTGCAAATATTATATATTCACACACACACTCGTACACATACTGAAGCAGTTGTCCATATAGTCCCAGGTTAATTTGGTGGCAGCCTCCCCTCATCATCATCACACAGATGGCCACGGGAGAACTTAATTCTTCCTCTATTGACTCAGTTTGCGTCGCCAGTCCCTGCTGTAATGACTGATCCATCACCAAACCTACTGGAGGCTCAGGATGAGCGAGGTTCACACTCTAAGAGAGAGAGGAGAGAAGAGAGAGGAGGATGTAAATCGGAAACAAGGGGAAGGCTAAGAGTGTTGATGCATTAAAATGCACCTGCATAAACATCTCCAGTCTATATGTAGGAGGAATGTCTTCCATGCTTTTATGTTTTGCATATAATAATATTTTATTTTAATTATTTTAATTCCTTACCTTCAATTAGTATGACTAAATAATCTTAACAAGGTCTCCTTACTGGGTTTTTCCTTTCCTCAGTTCTGATATTGAGAAAATTCAATCTTATGATGAAAACTGTGAGATGTGACAGAAAGCTCTAGAATAACACAGTAAGTGGACCTTGTTAAGATTATTTGGTCATACTAATCAAATCCAATTCCAATTTGACAACCCCGTATGGGGATCCCAACCCAGGTTGGGAACCACTGACATATAACACCTTTCTCTGCCTAGACCACCAGATATAGTTTGTATGTAACTTTTGAGAACCAGAATTCCAGCCTGATGTCGCTGGAAAATTAAATTCAGTATTATTTACAAAGCGCCAAATCATAGCATAGGTCTAGACCTTATTCTTTATATCTCTATGAAAAGAGCATCCTATCCACATTATCACTGCTGGCTGGCTATGTGTCGTGGTACGTCCTCAACTTAAGAATGAAGTAGTTAGTCTTAATTAGTGATCTGTCAGCCGGCTCCATGAGCCGGCACCTTTATGGGAGCTGGCTCGTGGCTGAGGGAGAAAAAGAAAGGCGTGATAATGAACAAATTACACATGAACAGAAATATTTTTGTTTCGTATTACATCATGCCAATTTAATTTAAATATATTGTGTAGGGTTGTGTAATTATTTATTAACCATACTATTAGTAGGGTGTTATTTTTGTTGTACAACTAGGAGGGTTATTCTTGACATATCCCATTTTTAACCATCAGTCTGACTGACTTGCATATTAATGTCTTTCTCTTTCTCTTCAACAAATACGAATGTAACTTAGGCAGTAACCAGCAGAAGTGGTACTAAATGAAGAGCTATTTAGGAGCTGAAAGAGCCAGCTTGCAGAAAGGAACAGAGCCATGAGATCCGGCTCCCTTCAAAGAAAGGTAATTCCCACCACTAGTGTTAACGTAAGGATGATTATTTGCACACTGAAATGAATGTAAAATTCTGACACAGGTAATGCTGGAAGAATAGCTTCGCCGCGCTTGTCTTCAGATAGAGAAGCATCCAGGCAGACAGAAACAAAAGATCCTCAACTCCTGCGGTAACTCAGTCACTACGGATAGAGACTGGCTCTTTGTGGAGGAGTCAAAGAAAGGTTGGGATTAAGGTTTATGAAGAACCAGGTTCCTCTGTGTTCCATGTAAACATGATCCTGAAATTTCAGTTCTTGCACTCAAACATCGACAAGCATCAAACCAGAAACCCGTTTAAGATTTAGTCCCATTTGGGGAGATTTCATTGTTGCTGATTTAGTATTTAATTGTAGAGTTGTCTGCATTTAATTCTCTGATGAGGATTAGTTCTTTAGTATTATAATACAGTAAAATTTACTTACTGCTAATTTCATCAGGGACTCAGTGGAACCACCCTCAAGGATCCCTGGAACTCTATTAAGGACCCTTTGAAGTCCACACTCCCAACTCCAGGAAACAGTGTGGGAGGAAACAAAGTGTTAACCAGCTGCCAGGGAGGCCTGTCTCACTGCTTGCCTCTCCTAACTCTGACAAGTCCGGACTTCTCAAGCCAGTTCCTCTCTATATGATGGACGCTGTCTAACAGTTGGCCATTTCCACTTCCTTGCAGACTTTCCCCGTCCCTCCCTCCGTTAGTTCTTTTCTTCCTCTTTCCCTTAGAGATGCCTGCAAGATGAAAGGCTGCGGCCCTCGCCCTCGCCTTATCACTGTCTTTAGAGCTTGTGAAAACTTGGCGGCACCTCAGCTTTTTACAGAGAGAGAGAGGAGAAAGAGAGAAGAGAAATAGCGTTGGGGATTATAGTTCTGAGGACAAACCTGGCTATTCACACTTGGCATTAGCAAGACAGCCCGGGTACAAGAAGGATATTTTTTATTCCCTTCAATTTAACTTTAATTACTCAAATCTCGGCGAGGGCACACAAGAAAAGCCCAGGCATTTGTGTCTGGGAGATTAGCAGACTGCCCTGCCAAGTCCTCGCCGGCGCTGCATCGTTAGATAGAATTCAAATTCAAATCCAGGCTAAAGACAGTGCAGCTGTCACCCCCCTGGCCTGAAAACCCCCTGGATCAGGAACGAGCTGTCCTCCCTCCTCCTTGCTTTCCCCAGGAGAAACCTAATCCTGCCTCCCTCTCTTCCTCTCTTTCCATCTCTCTGTCTCTCACTCTCATGACTGTGACAGCTAAAATAAAGCCATTAAAGCCTCCCTGAAATAATTAGTAATTAAAAATAAAAAAGAGGGTTGTTTTGTATTTCTTTGGCATCTCTGCTCAGGCTGGGAGTGGACGCTGGCGTTTGCAGGTGTCAGGGGTGATGCGTATTTCACAGCTCCTCAGATCTTTTTTTGAAGAATGGTTAAAAGAAGGATTTCTTTTTGGACATTTCAGGTTAAACAAACGCTTCCACCCCCCCTCCCAGCTCTCAGGGAAAACTTGCTGGGCTTTCCTCTCCTTGGGAAGTTTTACGACATGCCTTAATTCTTGCTATTCTTGGTGACGTGTGACACCGCGAGTCTTCATTGGGTACTTTAATCTTGTCAGCGAAGGACTCAACGGGAGAGCATCTCGCACGACACTGAAATCCTCACTAGTTGTTCGCCTTTCACCCGCAATTGACTTTGCAAACACCTGCAATGTCTTTGATAAGTAGCTCGTCTTATCTCCTTTGGGAGAGCAGACCCCATTATTGCGGGTTCGGGGGCAGATACCCCCGATGTGCCGCGGGCCGCAAATGATAATCCATGCTGCCACACCGCTGAAATCCTGGTAAAGTGATCCTAAATTGACAAAACCCCTGGATCCTCTGGACTAGGTTAAGCCTCATCTATTAGTGCTACTGTAGCTCGGGATAAGGGCTCATCAGTCTTGTGCCACTCCTGAGAACGTCACCACCAATGCCGTCTTTTTGGTTATCTTCTTCTTTTAATCCCCGCAGACACAGCAATGCAAGAGGGGCAGAGAGTTCACCATCCCTCTCCCTTTAAAGTCTTTAGGTAATTTCTTCATAAAGTCATGAGGTTGGGTCTGTGAAAACACTGCATCGAGCCATAATATGAGAGCAGACGGCATTAAGCTTGCGCGCAGAGTCCTGCAACTGGTTATTCCACAGGCCCAGAGTCCATGCGAGCAGTAATTGATTGGCGTGATGGAATTAAGGGGGGACTTGCCGTGCTGAAAAGAGAGCTGGCACGGGCCTAATACATTAAATATCTGGCACGGCTCAGCCAGCCAGGCATCTGATTATGATTTAAAAGGACTCGGACCTGGACTTGATTAAAAACCACGTAGGCCAGATGAAGGGCCTGCGAGGCCCCCAAAGGCATCCACAGAGATGCCAGTAAGGGGAGCCACTGTGAGTAACAGCAACACTGGATGAAGTCATGGCACGCCAGCCTAATTACAGGTCCATTTAAAGGGGCTTGTTTCAACCAGCCAATCAAACGTTGTCTTGGGGGATGTAGGCAGCCTAGGGTTGTATACCTTTCTCACAGAGGTACGCCCTCTTCTGCAAGAAGGGATATGAAATTATGGCAAATGAAACTGTGGAAAACAGAGGGAGGAAGAGGCAAAAGATTCTAGACCTCCTAGAGGAGTTTGCTTGCTTGCTTCCTTACTGAGTTCTAACAAGCCGCAAGAGCCAAGTTAATAACCCCTATTCCCCCTCCCTTCCAACCTTCCATCCCGCTTTCCCATCATCCCTCCTCACACCCCTCCCTCATCGCCCTCTCATCCTCTTTTCCCTTTCTGCTCTGGCCTAAGGGAGGGGATAGCGATTAATATCTGCCTAACTTGTTACCTAATTCATTATGGAATAGCAGTTAATTTGATTTGATATTATTTTAATAAAATTCTGTAATATATTAGATTGTTTCAGGCTATCAAAATCATTTTCCAATTATTACGGTTACTCAAGCAAGTCCAGCCCCCCCCCCCCCCCCCCCATCCCCCAACTCCACCTTGTGGCAAACGGCAGTTGGTCTGACTGTGAATACATTAGATTCTACAACTCCATCCCACCGATTGAAGGGATTTATACAGTGTACATGTATGCAAGATTACACCCTAAATGTTATTAGTGCTATAGATCCACACATTCAATAGATTGGAGTGTGACTGGCTCAGAAAAGCGTCCTAAATGTGTTTGATTGAGCCCTCGTAAGGAGGAATGGATCAAATAAATCCAGCGAGATTTGATTTCTTTCTGCGCTAACGGCCGCACACTAGTGTTTTTTATCTCTGTTAATTAGTAACACGCTTCAGCAACCCTGCCCTTTCTCAGGCATCAAGGCACAGTGGGCTTCGGCTCAGATGGACACGATCTAAGCAACCCCCTGCCCCCCCACCCCCTCTCTGTACACACACATACACCTCGCTGCTCCCCCGCCGGCCTTTGAAAGCTATCGTAGAACAGAGCTATGGACTCACCATCACATCTCAAATACTCAGCTCACAGCTAAAAGGAGAGGGTTTAAAGGGGAACAACACCTTATAAATCGCAGCATGATGGTCTGCTGTTTGTAAGCTTTTCATTTCCAGCACATGGACCTCACTCGTTCGTCCTACAGGCTCAAACTGTATCCTTACTTCAACCTGTAGATGTGCAAAATTTTAACCCTGAACTGGATCCGCAGGTTAGGTTGCATACCAGCGTGACTTGGGATCCTGGGAAAGCTACATAGCAAGGATGTGATGCATGAAAAATTTATATAACACTACTTAATTGCTAAAAAAATCTTCTTCCATTATAAAATATTGAAAAGATGCTGGTTAGGTCTTTGCTATAGGGGAATAAAACAGTGATCCCAGCCTATCATACTTGTGTGACCCAGGCCTGGGCTCAGTTTGCCCCTTTTCATTGCATTCATTGCATCAGTCACATAAGTTTGTCTCATACAAAAGGCCACTGTCTTCATTCATATTGTGCGTGCCATCACATATTGAGTTTCATTCCCTCAGGCGAAAAGGTACTATATGTGCTATCTCATTATGGGTTCACTCTTATGTAAGGGAGAAAAAAAAAGCTCGTTAATTGTGCGGTTGTCTCAATTCCTAACCACCTGTTTAACCCACTGACTTGATTTAAGGACTTCATATCCTCAATTCAGCATGTCAAAGATTACGCAAAGGTGGAATATTTCTAAAGCTGTCCACCTCTTGAAGAAATGCCTCCACATCTATAATTACTGGCCACACACTCAATTACACCCAGCTGTAACAGCGGAGCCAGGTTGACATTGATGACTTTTATATGACCACAGACAGGTTTTGTGTCTCACCGCCCTGTCCAGGGGCTCTGATGTCTGCGCCAAGGGGTGACCCAGGGCACTCGCTTAAGGCCCAGCCTGGTTTCATGAGTTCCACCTCTCTGAAGCTCATAACTCAGCTTTGACAAGCCGTTGGCACCCTCCCAGAGACATACCGATCTCTTGCCAATGTATGCAAACCGCTCTTGCTTTGAGACTTTTTTTTCCCCATACCATGACAATGGAGTTCATTTTTTTTAATGCCCTACTTTTTATCTCTTATTGCATTCGCGTAACTGCCCCTTCTTTTTTTCTCCCTACAGTCACAGCGTTATCATGATTTATAGAAGAGTCCATTTTGTTTTCAGTTCCAAGACACTCAAATCAAAGTACCATTGCAGTACTTTATCTTGGTTTATTGGAAGCCACTGCATACTCCCCTCCTGGTCAGTTAAATGTATTTAAGTGTATATTTAGATAAAAATAGTCTCAGAGCCGCAGATTTCATTGTTTTCCGTGTCAGTGATGAATCTCTCTTTTTTGATAGTTACTTGCAGGGAGAAGAAAAATGCCAGCCTGGATGCACTGTTATTTCCTCTCTAGCAAAAAATACGAAGGCACTCAGAGTATGAAAAAAGGTCCAACTCAAAAGAATCTGATTACTCTGCCTTGCTTTGAAAGTATACCAGCTGCAGCACATTCGCCATTGTGGTTTGACATTTAATTAACATGTCAAAAAATATTTTGGTCATTATTTCAAGTTTTCCCCCCGGGGTATTTGCCCACAAGCCTGGTATGTTCCCAACAATTACCGCCGCTCCCTTCTCTTCTCTTCTCTTCTCCGCTGGCTATGAGGACGCACGGAGAGGTCACTGGAAAACTTGTGTTGCAGACTTCACGCGCACTATAAGACATACCGTTCAAGAGGTTTATATGCAAATAGAGGTGACAACAAGGCATGTTTATGTTGACATGGCAAGCGTTTCAGAACAACATGAGCTCTGTCCCTCCCCATCCCCCACTCTCCTGCATACCCAACTCAGCAATCTCAATGAGCATCCATGTTCTCTAGCAGTCAGAGAAAGGGAGAAAAAAACACACAATACACAGAAAACATGAAAACCCACCTTTGTCTAAATCAGGTAACAATACCTTGCTGTCTGTCAGGCCGACACAAAAGCCTTTAAGATGCACCCTGCTGTTTCTAAGATGCTCAGAGAAAGCATCTACGGGCGGATGACGTCTTATGATTTATGCCATGAGGACACAGAATAATAGAACAATGGCCGGAGAGCTGCTGAATGGTGGGATGCTGTCACTTATTGCAGGTTGTATGAATGGAGAGAGGCCAAATTTGATTTGCAGGGTGCAATACCTTTGTGAGGTGTTTGTTGGTCATCACTTGCA